AAATCTTGTGTATAACAAATTTTTTATATTGAATTTATATAAAGCCCTTGTTTGATCCCTATTATTTTCAAAATACATTTTTTTTTTATTTTCAACCACATATTCTTCAATAAAGTAAGATCATATGCAAACCAAAAACTTTTCCTTATTTTTTTTAACCACGCATTTTCTATCAAAATACTATTCCAAAATTCATTTTGGACAAAAAAATGGCGATCAAACAGGCGCTTAGTTTTCAACAATCAAGCCATACATTGCGTTCCTTGTAACTGCTATTGTACAAAATGAAACCACACAACTAGGTAAGAAGGTTATTACGCACATAGAATCTTCTTGTACACTTTCTAGTTTCCAATTCTTCAAATTTTCCTTGTTTTTACGAAGGTTTGTGCTCCTGTCTTTAGATAGGGTTAGGCTAGTACTCGGCTTGCTAGGAGATGACATGCGCTCTAGGAGAGGTGTGGGGTCGTGTCTGAAACTATGGTGGCTAGTCTACTAATATGGTTGTATCTGTTAATCCTATCACATTGTCTATGTAATCGTGCATCATATGTGTACTGTCCATATTTAGTTAGAGCCATCCAGGAGACCCAATGGACTATTGAAGCCCAAGCTAAAAATAATTGAAGTCCAGTCTTGTTCAACTTGGCTAAAGTTATTATTGTCGGGCCAGTCTGCTACAGGCTCTATTGCATTGTTGAATCAACAAGCTTATCATAAAATGTCACGAGCCTTGCTAATAATTAGTAAACTTAAGCTCTAAGAAGTAAGCTAATAATTAGTAAAATCATAAAATATCACGAGCCTTGCTAATAATTAGTAAACTTAAGCTCTAAGAAGTAGGCTTGACAGTTTAACCGTATCGAATGTCCATACCAAAACAGGGTGTTTGATGGTCGTTTAACCACTCTGTTTTTTTCCTTGGGTTACTTAATTTAACGATATTATCTATTTGTGACTTAATTACAAATGTTATTATTCACTAATTATTTATGAAACATTGATACTTCAGAATTTTTTGGAGACATTCTTAACGAGAGGTATGTATTAAGATACGTTTCCAAATTATTGGAAAAGGCTTATTGCATCAAATTATGTTCACGTTATATACCCACTTTATTTCAAACGAACTAGTGTCTTTACTCATAAGTCACAACTTCTATGATCAAGATGAGTCATAAATCATTCCTCCTATTGAGAAGTAAACGAAAATATGACTTTTCAAAATCAAATTGTTTATGTGCATAATTTGTATCATCATATATCCTTGGAGTCTTGTGCTATTTTCTTATAATTATTATATTTACACGATAGCCGAAATTATTAATCAATAAATCACATTTTTCATTGACAAGAATATGTCAATGTACAATTTTTGTGCTTCGAGGTACTTATCCTGAACAAAAAGTTCTCATTTTATTTATGAAGAAATCAGGAAATGAGTAAAAGTTAATTTGAAGCACTTCTTTGTTATTGTTACCTTACTTTATTTGATGACTTTTTGATACCAAAAAAAACTAGAATGTTTGAATTCTTGCATTGACCCCCTCCAAACTATGGGGACATGCTGCCATATATTACTATATTTGAGCTTGTTCGTGTTTTAAGTTTTCTTCCTGGTATAAGCAATGAGAAGATGTATATCTGTTGTCAATTTCTCATTAGATCGCATCGGAAGGACTTAAGCACCGTGTTTTCGAAGTGTCCTTGGCTGATCTTCAAGGTGACGAGGACCATTCCTACAGAAAGATTCGATTGAGAGCTGAAGACGTTCAAGGAAAGAATGTTCTCACGAACTTCTGGGTATGATTTAATTGTTCTTTTCTAGTGTTGTGTGCTTAATGAATTTTTTATGACTGCTAATTTTCCTTTGACCAATTACAGGGCATGAACTTTACAACAGATAAATTGAGGTCACTTGTGAGGAAATGGCAATCATTGATCGAGGCTCACGTCGATGTCAAGACAACAGACAACTACACCTTGAGGATGTTCTGCATTGGATTCACTAAGAAGCGTGCCAACCAGCAAAAGAGGACATGTTATGCTCAATCAAGCCAGATTCGCCAAGTAATTACCATTTCAGTGATCGATATTTAAATTACTATTTCACTGATATAATCTAGCTGTGAATACGATAGAATTATGCATGGAAAAAGTCTCATCATTAATCAAGTCATTCGTTTGATATTGGAATTCTATGTTCTTTATTTGTTGTCGACATTATAACTTCTCCTGTTTTGGTTTTCTTAGATTCGCCGGAAGATGCGGGAGATCATGATCAACCAGGCACAATCTTGTGATCTCAAGGATCTGGTTCAGAAGTTCATACCCGAGTCAATTGGAAAAGAGATTGAGAAGGCCACTTCAAGCATTTATCCTCTGCAGAATGTGTATATTCGAAAGGTCAAGATCTTGAAAGCTCCCAAATTTGACCTGGGCAAATTGATGGAGGCAAGTCTTTTTTAGTTCTCGTCTTAATCATGAGATTGTCCTCAATTTCATTGTGCAAAATCAACTAAAAGTTGTATTGAATGATTCAAGTCTCATAACGTCCTTGATATAATGAACTTTGTGGGATCATGTAGGTTCACGGTGATTACAGTGAAGATGTTGGAGTGAAGTTGGACCGGCCTGCTGAGGAGCCAATGGCTGAGGAAACTGAAGTGGTCGGTGCTTGATTTGGTGGATGTCACCAACTTCTCTTGTTATTTTTGTTTTCAACAAATATTTATATTTCTTTGAAATAGACAACATGACATTTACTTTGAATTTTCGGAATGATGAGTAGAAGAGAGATTGTCTTAGATAGTTAGTATTCTGAAATTGTTAATCATTTGACATTTGGGTTTGATTTTTTATTTGCACATTTTCTGATGTTTTCAAATTTGTTATTGACCACTGCATATAAAGAGTCCTGTTTTCACAAGTTCAGTTGGAAATTCAAATCCTTAGAAAGGTTGCCAAAAAATGTTGTGAATGCATTGAAATTTTCTGGGGAAGTATTTCGGTGACAAATTTTGTGGAGGCCGTTGGCAAGACCGTATCTTAATACTGGTGGAAAAGTCATTTATGGGGCAGAGAGGTGGTTCACAAAGGTGTCAGATGGGGAATGTATCAGAACCTGTGAGGATCTGTGGTTGCCAAGGCCATCCACCTTTCGGCAGATCACACCAATTATAAATTGAGAACAATTCGAGGTGTTTAGCAGCCTTGTTACAGCTACTTGTACAATGGACGAGGAGGCAGTGAATGATAGTTTTCCAAATTGATGGTGACAATTTTGGAAATTTCTCTAGCAGAAACTGAAACAAAGATCGTAATGTGGCATTATGACAAAGAAAGGTACGTACACGGTTCTGAACAGGTATTGTCTTTTGATCTCGGTAAGCAGGAAAAGCACAGGCAGAAGTTTGATAGTCTTAGCCAGTGGTTGTAGAAGATGTGGAAGTTGATAGTCTAATCCTAAGATTAGCATTTTCACATGAAGAAGTTTTTATAATGCAATGCCTGTAGGAATTAATCTTATGTGCCGTCAAATGAGGACTGATAGTTGTTTATGTGCACAATTTTGGTCTATAGAAGAACACTAAAGCTAGACGTAGTAATGCAGTTATAGATGAATGATAGCCAATGATCATATGACTTATGTCAAGTTTGAGCGCTAAGAACCCTTCTTGCTATTCCTCTGTTTTCTCATCAAATTTAAAAGCTCAAAGTAGCCATCACATTATCTGTGATTTGTCTACTCGGAAAAAGGCACTCTAATTCTTGAATATAAGAGACAAAGTACTCTCTTTAATCGATTCTCCAGTCTTAGAGCATGTTTGGTAGGACTTAAAATTTAATTAAAATTGAAAATATAGTCGTTATTGGGTTCCACTCATCTAATAAAAGTCAACAATAACGGCTAATTTTTCAATTTTAATCCGATTTTAATCTCTACCGAGCGCGCCTTTAGTAACTAGCTTATTGAGGACATTACATAGGCTAATGGGGGTGGAAATCACCATTTGATTCAGTAATCCGTCTTCTTCGGCACCAGTACCAAATGGATGTGATTTATTGCAGTGGTGACTTGTGACGTCATATAAAAAGGTCAAAATCGATAATAAAAAACTTCTAGGCATGTCCTTAGAATATCTTTAAGAGACTCTTTATTTACTATAAAGAATATTTTGAAATTTTGAAAGTCAAAATTTTTGCACTCCAACTCACTCTTTATTTTGGCTCTTCATTTTGCCTTTTTCAAAAACATTTATTAATTTATCTTCATATTTTATTTAACATGACTTCTTATATATCAATTAATCAATTAATTTAAATGTGTTTTGAATATTTCAAGAAGTATATTATTGAAATATGTGATTTATTAAATGCAATTATTGTATAAAAATAGATAATGATTTTCTCTCTAAATTTAGAGAGTCAAATCCACTCTCTATTTTTAAAAAATTAAATAGAGAATTTCTAGGAGCTTATTGTAAGCATTGACTCTCTAAAATAAATAATAGTTTATATTTAAAAAGTCACTTAAAATTGCTCTTAATCGCCTAACCCTAACTTAAGTTTGGGACGAATGATACAGGAGTTTTGTTAGATTGATAGGGCCACATGGGCTTGTCACTCCAAGGGGGCACATGTGATGTCCCCTATTGGCTGGAAGTCCGTCGACATGTGTTCGTTCATAGCCTATTTAGTTCTTGACGAATAGCAAAACTCATGAATAATTCGTATTGATCCTTGCTGCAAAATGAATAAAAGTACTATTTTGCCAATAGAAAGTAAATTTCATTGAAATTACTTATAACATGATTGACAACCATTAAAGTAAACTCCTTTTTCTACATATTTATTTTCAATCACATATTCAGACAATAAAATATTTTACACGTAAACCTAAAATTTTTACTTGCTTTTTAGTCACATTATCCAAAAAATCACTATTCTAAACAATGTTTTTTCTATTAAAAAAATGGCCGTCAAACATGGGCTAAAGAAGTAAATTCGGTTTTTGTCCCAAAAATGACATTTTAATTGTTGACTGGCCTACGGATTTATAGGGTTGGATGTGGTACAAAAAATTATGTGAAATAATAAGATATGACAATTCAATTTTCATGAAAGAGATGAAAATTGAAGTATCATAATTCATTATTCCACATAAGTTGTCACACCGTGATAATCCATCATTATAATGATAAATAACATAACTTAATTTTCAACCTAAAAAATATTATTTTTTTTTTCTATAAAGTTGAGTTTTGGGAAATGTGAATTGCCTAGAAAATAAAAATCTACCCACCAGAAAACAATATTTTCCTTGTTTTTGAGAAAAATATGGTCACGTGACTAACCTTTGAAAAATATTTTTCATGAAAAAAATACCGATCAAGCACTTTGAAAATATGAATTTAGATGAAAAAAAGACATTTTTTTATGGATAAAATTGATTAAACGCATCCTAAGAGAAACTAATTAAACATTTAAACGTTGTTGTACAATAAATTGTGTAATAGTGATATACTTGTTAATACCTCGTTTGGCCCCCATTTTTTTTCCATTACATTATATGAATTTTCTCTCTTTTCGTTTCAACCACACATTCATGATATAAAATAATATTATACATAAATCTAAAACTTTTTATTACTTTTCTACCACACATTCTCCCATCAATCACTATTCCAAAAATTTTCAACACCCCAAAATGGGGGCCAAACACCAATTCTTGAAATTCGATTTCAAGCTCATGTTTGACAATTATTATTTTAAAACTCTTTAATTCTCATATTCATTTTAAATCATATATTTACAAAATAAAATATTTTGCACCTGTATCAAAAAAAATTCATACTTTTTAAACACACATTTTTTAAAAAAGTCAATATTCAAAATTTTATTTTTCTCAAAATAATGACCATCAAACACGTGCCAAATCTCATTTTGTTTCAAATTGTTTTTAGTTGATATATTTTTTAATGAAATAATTTTATGGGTAAATTTAAGCCCCCGTTTGGCACCCATTAATTTCTCATTCTCATTTCCATTCTCATTCTCATTCTTCATTTCAACCACATATTCTCCAAATAAAATAATATTACACACAAATCAAAAACTTTTCATCACTTTTTCA